CAGATATTCGCATTGTTAATTTTGTCAGGTGTAAAAGTGAAGCGGTTAGTACTCGCCAGAGCGCGCGATCAAGAAACTGGAATCGAAGAACCCGCCAGACTCGAATACGCCACATTAATCAGCGCGCCACTGAGATTCATTTTGAACAACTCTGAAACAAAGTTGTCCACGTGTTTACTTAAGAAACAGTCATCTATATGTTTACTCACTTATCAGTCGAAGACTTTTCACTTCTGAGACGTCCAGTTAACATGAAAATGCTGCGAATTTACAGCAATGAGGAATACGACTTTTGTGACGGCAATGAGTAAAGAGCGGTATATGAATATCACAGACAATTTTCTAATGGTTTTTTACCGCATAAAAGCAAACTTATTAACACCTTCAGAAGGTTGCTAGAAACTAGTTCATTATCTCTAACCTCCGAACCCCACCTTTCTCCAGCTTGGAACAAGTGACCCTGTTTGATAGTGTGACGTCATAGGAAAGAACTACGCCACACGAGCAGTTGATATTTACATTGATGTATTTACAGCCTTTTTCCAGTTAACAATAAGACAACACCCTGAGGCAACCCTTTTCCCCCAACCGCCAACCTGCAGCTGCCTGACTAAATTCCGCGCAGCAATATAGTATAATAGATCCCCCCTATCTCGATCAGGTTTTTGTCCAGTTTCAATGATCCATTGAGCAAATGCTGCATGGCTCCTTGTTTTACTGATGGACGTAGTGTCACTATGCGCACGTTTTGTTCAAATATCCTTTTGCTTCTAATGGTAGGAGTAGAGGTAAGGGTGAGTTACTATTTTGTTAGCAATGCAGAAAAATCATACTTGCAATTCGTTTACCGATGCAAATAAGTTTTCTGTAACTCGGAAACGAAAATGTCTATTTTTTTCAAATATTGCTAATCTCGTGATTTTTAAAAATTTATTTTTATTTATTTATTAATTAATTTGTTTTTAACTTTTACTGATCTTTCAACTATTTATAGTGAAAATGACGGGTAGAGATTTTGGAACTCGAGAAAACTTGCTTTGATAATTTTCTCCCCCACACGTTACGTAGTTTTTACTGCTTTATTATCTAATAAATACTATAAATCTAAATCTAGAGCTCACAACGCACGTATTACCTAGCCGCCGTGAACAACTCTCGCATGAGACCCACCCGCTGGGCTCCGCCAAAGCGAACATTCGCCCGAGTGTTTCCGTGCCCAAGCATTTGGGAGGCCGCGGCAACGCAATCCCGCATGAGGCGCGTTTTTATTAGCGGGTCACGTGGTCACCCACGTTCCCCTCGCCTGGAGGAGCGGCCTGAGTGCAAATCTGAGGTCTGCTGGTCACATCCATGACGCCCGTGCATTTTAGCCGCCGCTCCTACTTCGAGACGTACCTGCGTTTTGGGAAGTTTAATGATTCTAAATATAGCTTTGCTTATACTCCGATTTAGACAGAGAAGCACTTCAACGTCATGAGCTCAACGGAGAACGGGCCACTACCATCCGTTTGGGGGCTTTGATACGACTTCAATTTTTGGTATTGGAGCTCCCGATAGGATGGTAATCCCCCCCATCACTTTCCGGCTCGTGACTTTGAAGTGCCGTTTCGTTTAAACCGGTTTGTTTAATACGGAGATTGTTCGTGTTTGCAGTCCCATCCATGTCGAGCTTTCCTCCCCCGACGGTTTCGGGGCCCCCACACCATGACGCAACAATACTAGCCGAAGAGAATCCATCAACCAGTGTAAAAAGAGCATCTCGGTTGGGTGTTGCGATGAGTGCAGTATGTAAATTCCTTCACAAAGAAGGTTTGTATCATCAAACTTTGCAATGTGCAACACAACCACAAGACAGAGAATCGCGTTTGCAGTTTTGTACTTGGCTTCTTCAAAGACATGAAATTTGCAGGTAGATATTATTCACAATCGAGACACAGTTAACGTGGATGGTATAATTCTAGAAACAGTCATTTAAGGGCACTTTCTAACCCACATACGACACGTGAAAGACGAGTTCAAGCAGAATATTCCATAAATGTATAGTGCTGAATTGTTGGAAATCAAATTATAGGACCTCACTTCTTTGATGAAAAATTAACTTCTTACGTAAATTATTCGAAGAAATATTTTGTCATTTGACCTTCGTGTAATAATAATTTGCTTTCCGAAACTTTGTTATTTATTTGCCCTACCGTCACAAAATACATCATGATTCAGCTCCATGCTTTTTTTTCAAAATTTTATTAAAAACGGATCTAAATTTTTTTAAAAATTTTGTTAGAGCAGAGAAAAGTATGCTTATAGAAATGGCGCAGGTCCGATTTTCAATAAACTATTTGACTTTCCGAAAATCGCCAGAGTTTTCATTTTTGTCTCCCATCCTACGATAATTGTGTTTAAGGTCGTAGAGTTTTTTATTATTCGAATCTCTTTTTCAAAATTAGATCTTCATTAATGAAATGTTTTTTTTGAATTTTTGAAAATTTCTGCTCCAAAGAAAGGTTTTGCTATTCTTTTATATTCTCAAAACCTCATTTCATTTAAAGCAAAATTTTAAAAAATGAACAAATAGAAATAAACATGCGTGCTTTTTGATAAAACAATTTTATTAATATAAATATTATAATAAATAATATTAATTAATTTTATTCATGTTATTTCAATTTGAAAAAAGTTTATTAATGAATACGAGTTTGAAAATTTGCGAAGTTAATGAAACGTTGATATTATGGCTATGACAACGAGTTGTCTTCACTGCTAATGAGATGAAGGGATTAAATGTTTCGGAGCAGGTTATTTGTCATATACCCATCAAAATTTTTGTTTTTACAAATATTTTAATTAATTTATTAAATTATTATGATTTGACATAATCATTACAATTAATACGCTAAAATCAGCCGAGCTCGTGTCACAGAAGCATGTGACAGGTACTAAGCCTCTGCCAGCGTAAGGGATGTCTTTATGGTGCGGGGCGCATATTCCAACTTGTTTAACCTCTCTGCCCTAACACTTCCATAAACCGTTTCTCTGATCGATAACCGTAAGAGATATGTGTATATAATTGAGTAACTCGCATCCTTCACTCAGAAGAATGGTGTTAGCACCTAGTGGCCCAAAGGATAATCGAAAAGGGCCTAAAACCAAGGCGTGATGTCCAGATAGTTGAAGGAAATTCTCCATTGCTGTATCTAATGGAGTGGTAATTATCCCGGGGAGTCCTAGTAGATCTCACACGGAAGGCGAGAATCGACATACAGGCCACCCTAAATGGCCGCAATGCGGCGCTGGCGGATATACGTCGGTACCGCCAACTTCTGAAACGAAGGGTTTCAACAAGACCCGCGGTATTCAAGGAGACGGATATTCGAAATTTAACTAGACTGCGGGATTGATACTTTTTTCCCACTCTTTCTTTATTTTGTTAGGTTTGGACTTCAGGAAATCTTCAGTTTGGACTTCAGGAAATCTTAGGTTTGGACTTCAGGACTTCAGGAATAAAATTCTGAATATTCCTGACATAATATATTAGTTGGAACACCTACTGGGGTAATTGACATTACAGTGCCAGGTTTGATGGTGGTAGTGTTTTCTTAAATTTATTTTACATTTATTAGTATGTCTTGTAAAATTGAGGTTTTTTTCCTAAAGTACTATCAGTGATAACAAGATTTTTTTTAAACGACTATATATTATTAAAAGAAAGAACAACTTAATATTAGTATGAAGTCAAACCATTAAATAGTAGTGAATCAACATCAGGAATACACACCATAAAAAAATTTAAATTTATCAAAAATCAAAATTTCTTTTTTTAAGTTAGCATTGTAAAGTATTTTAAAATTAATTTAAATACAGAAGGGTATTAATTGGAAACTATTATAGTATTGAAGAACAGTCAACTGTATCTACTGGCAAGTACTGGTTTCACTGTAATGTGAATTACCCCAACATGTCTTGCAAATATTCATTGGAATTATCTCTAATAAAAAATCTTAATAGAAGTAATATATTAATGTGAATGAATAATTAAATTTATTGCAAATATTTAACAGCATAAGAAAATCTTCTTTCAAGCCTGAGATGTCAGGAAAGGAATAAGAAAGACAATTTGCTACTTTTATTCAATTTGTTCAGATAATAATATTGAAGTATTACAGACACAATAGCAATAAGAAACATTGTTTAAGTTGCACAGGTTTGCTCTATTAAATAAATTGCACTGATGAGAGAAGTGCTGGAAGAGCTGATGATAATAATGATGAGCAACATATTCAATCACTGATTAAATATATGAATGAAGGTTATGTCTTTATATTTTTCTTTCCTGGCCATGTGATCACAGCAGTAAAAAAATAAATGATTACCAGCTAAAAATTTGAAAGTTGTATCAAGAAACACTACAGGTTCTTTTATTTCAACAAATAACAAAAATGACAATGTTTAAGCTAGAAAAAGTTTTTAGAAAAATATTTTAAATAATAGATTAAGTAAAAGTATTTAACAGAATATCTTGTTAAATACATTAAAATAATAAAGATGAATTTCAGTAGCATTCCTATTTTATGGTTAGCATCATTTGATTCACTTTATACTGTCCTTGCTTATAAGTAATGACCATAATTAACTATTCAAGTTTAAAAAAATAATTCAAAATTTTAGGAAATCTCTGACTACTGTACCACAACTTATAAAATTATGCTAATGATTTTCTCAAGTTCTAATTTCTTTTTCAATATTTTACTTATTTTTCTCCTTCAGTCCTATCATCAGGCTCCTTGACTTGTGGGGCCCTGATCGATCGCCTAGTCTGCATATGCCTAGTGCAGATGCCTACCAGCACTGATGATTACAAAAAGAAGTGTTTGAAACATACAAAATCATATGATAAATTAAATACAATCAAATAGAGTGTGACCTTATGTTTGAAAACTGAATAAATTAACTAGTGTTCCTAAATATGAATGTAAAAAATTGAATGCAACAAAGCTTAAGCCCTACTAGGGGCTACCCATTTCTTGTATTTCATCTTCCTCCTCACTAACTTGTAGGTCAATCAATATTTCTTGTACTTCAGGAAAATTTTTAATTTTTCCAGTAATCCAAAATTTTTTTTCAGTATGATTAACATAATGATTCCACTTCTCAGGTGTCATCTAAAAACCTTTAGTATTTGTATGTAAATGCAAAGAAAAAATATTTAAGTCAATGCAAAACAAACATTTTATAGTTGCACTATTTACATATTAAGATGAGAATAATGGACAAAATTTTCTAATTGTAATCCACTTACTCGATTCAAAGCTTCTGTCCAAACTGATTTTGCACGCATGATACCACCACTTGACCATGTGGCACATTGCTTGAATTCTACCTTTTTGCTTCACTACTTACTTCAATTGAACTGAAGAAGCAGTGATATGGAGGAAATCATAATATTGAATTCCCATTTTCTTTAATCATTTCATTAACAATAAACCTGTTAGAAAGAAAATATTCCACTCATTCGACACACTTAAAAAATTAATTGGATAATTCTATATATTTTAAAATTGTATTAAAATATTTCTCTTAAACAAACCTCTTAAACTGACTTCCATGTAGTTTACACAATTGCCACAACAAACAACTGTAGCATTCACAGAAGCTTATATACCTTGCTCCTCTATCCATGTCTGAACGATAGTTCTTTTATTATCATGATTATTAATATGCAATGTATAGATTTCATAAAAAAATCACTTAACACCTACTACTAATTCATGTTTCTTCCACTGTGTTGTAGGTTTAGAATCCACAAGCTTGCTGTGAGTGTGTTACTCCTTACAACAAGGCAGGTTTGTTCCAGTTATTGAGTCTTGACCCATCTTGAAGTAGTGTATAAATTTTCAATTCAATTATTACATTTTTAAGTCATATTATTGTTGTTATTATTATTATTATTATTATTATTATTATTATTATTATTATTATTGTTGTTACAAATTATTACAAATTATTGCAAATTACAGACTAATAATTAACTAACTTTTGAAATCCTTCACTATTAATCAATCCATAATAATCCTGCCCTTTCTTCAAATTTGTGCTGAAAATTAATTCCACGCCTAATAGAAATACAAACAAAAACAATTCAAAGTGACATAAATACGATACATCATATCTTCCCTCCCTCCCAAAACAAATGTTTCTCTTGAATATTGTTTGAATATGGAGCTATGTATTTTGTACAACTAGATTGATTTGATGTAACATTTGACTAGATGTAAATCATTAACAATGTATAAATTAATTTAACTTTCCTCCCAGAAAATGTTCACATTTTTTGAATTCGCAAAGTCAATAACAAATGTATTTTACATGATGGCACTGAAAAACTTGACTTCCATACAACCTGTGTGCATTTTGGATGAATGAACTTTAATTCTGATCCCTAATTATAAAATCTATTGCACTTCCATTGTCAAGAGACACTAGACAAATCCATGTTTACTTCCAGCATGGAACACTACTAATCTACTTCCTTCTTCAGCTTGGTGTGGATAACCTCTAATCTCATCCTCCTTCACCCATGTTTTAGAAGACTGATCTAGACACAATGAAACAGTTATTTTTACAATTTACTGACAAAATTTCATACTTTCTGACAAAAAATTCCGCAACAACTGTACATAGATAATAGAAATCTCTATTCAGTAACTCACAAATTAAAAACATTAATCAAAATGTGAAAATTTTTAAAAATGTAAATGTTATGTTACCATTCATACATATCCAAGTCTTGTCCAAAAAAATAACTTTTGGGATTCTAATAACTATTGTAATTTTTTAAATAACTTCTCTCTTGAAAATAAAATAGCTTCTGTTTCACATATGTGAATATATTTGTCACCATGACCCAAAGTAAATCCTAAATTCTTCAAAATTCTTTTTAATGATGACTTACAACCATAAAAATTTAATGTCATCTCCTTCAATGTCTTCAAACAGACGAACTGTTACTAATGCCCCTGAATTAAGTTTCTCTATATTATAATACACAGACAGTAATAGTACTTAAACTGCTTGAGAACTATAATTTGAACACTTAAAATTGTAAGTAAATGGGTACATAAAAAACCTTTCTTTAAATAATTATACATTTTATTTCCATTTGCATCCTTAATAAAACTATCAATATCAGTGACTGGGCATTTTCTTTTTCTGGTCTTTTTTCGGTTATTACCCGCTCCTGCTGTTTGTGTAGAACTCCATTGATCGAATCAACACCACTCTGAAAATATATCTCTACTTAATGCTGATGATATATATTTGTAGAATGTTTAACAATTAATATTATTCTTACAACACACTTCAATTAATTCACCTACCTGCAGGCACTTTGTAACTCGCAGTATCAAATCTGACATGGTAAAATATGTTTTATCCCCTTCTGCTTCTTTTTGTTAAGTAAATTAAAATATTAATGGTAGCCTTTTTTTATGAACTCTGCAGAGTGGTAATCTTGTACAGTTGTATATTAATGCATTGTGAGTTCAAGGACTTGGCCGTATCTATTTATTGGCACAAAATACTCACTATTGAATAGTGTGACTATAATCAACAATGAACAACTAATTAAATACAATTATTACTAAGTAAATAAATTCAAATAACTATATTTTTCAAAATCTTCAGATCATTAAATTAATCATTAAAAGCTAATGCAAATACTATAATATAATAATCTGACTAATAGCCAAATAATGATAATAATAATCAAATTAATTGTCAGGGAAAGGATTTTCATGTTCTAAAAATCTTGAAATATACTTATTAAAATATGCATTTATGACCTAAAAGTTTTGATATATGCACTTTAATATGCCATTAAAATTAACAATATTTCATTTCCTATATAAACCTTTCTTGATTAAATTCAAGAGAAGCACAATTGGAATAAAAATAGATATTTTTGTGTTAACATAATATTACCAACCTTATTTCACAGGAAAAATAATTGAAGCAGATATACACCTTAGTAAAATACACTGTTTGTCTTGTTTCATTTCTTATATCTGATTTAAAAAAATATGATATCAAGAAATATCCTACACTTGAACAAGTATTTTATCATCTTTAAAAAATAAAAACTCAACTGTGAGAAGCTCTTTCATCAATGAACACAAATAAATAGATTCTATGAAAACATGAAACATTTTAGAGATAAGTCTCTATTTTAAGGAAATATTCAAAATATGCTCCGATAAATACAGGGATATACATCAACAGGAAAAATTGGCCAAACATGCACTAACATTATTATCTATATAGCATCCAATTCTAACCAAATTTTAAGAAATTTCACTAAGCCATGTCATAAAGCAACAGAAAAAATATATGCAAAAATTATAGAAATCTGCTTCCTACTAATGACTAATTATACAACAATCAATTCAATCAGGTTTGTGTGCTATGTGTTGCAGTGCGCACGCTGCAACACTGCTATGTGTAAGTGGCTGGTGTGGATTCGTGTCGGACCTTAGTCAATAGCCAAATCGGCTGTGTTGCACTACGCCCTTAGAATATCAGAGGGGAGTGCTTGTCTTCTTTGCTCTATTGTAAGGACGAGTCGAGCTAATTGTTTTAGCGTTCCCGGAGCTTCGTTGGTTTGGAAGGCTTGATATGCTTTATTAAACGAAAGCCGTCTCAAGCATTGAGTGAAGGACTCGATATTAAGTTCCTTCCTCAGTATTTTCAACTGTTTCCGAAACGGAGGGCGTGCTATGAGCCGTAAAACTTTGTTCTGTACCAGCTCAAGTGTATCCTTGTACTTCTGTGCTGTAGTCCACCTCGTTGCCGCAGCGTAGGTGGCCACAGGCCGCCAACACGTTTTATAGAGTGCCAAGCGAAGTTCCAAGGGGAGTGTAGGTTCCCTCAAAAGAGGTTGTACTAGTCGAACTCTTCGTTGTAATTTTGATCGAATTCGCCTGACATGTAAATGCCAGCGCTGCCTTCGATCAAAAGTGACGCGTAAGTAGGTTGCCTTGGTGCCCATATTAGTTTTTGTGTACCAAGTGTAATATGTTTGGTGGTGTAAAACGTTTGGTGTATTTGTGTTTGCGGCGGGTGTAACAGATGGCCTGCGATGTTTCCGCTGAAAAAGTCAAGTGATTTTGTTCCGATCACTTCAGCGTCAGGTTCATCTATTTTTGAAGTATTTTTAGTTTGTGGTCTAGGTTTATTCCTCTTGCTAAGGCGGCTATGCCATCAGCATAAAGGAAGAGCCGTATACGTGGTATATGCGGGATGTCATTGCCATACAACGAGAACAGTAGCGGAAAGAGGACGGAGCCCTGAGGGACTCCGGCCGCAATCCTCCGCTTTGAGGATCTCGCTTTGCCCACATTTACCACGAATGTGCGGTTGGTGAGGAAAGATGAAACCATTTCGGTTACATCTTGTGGAAGGAAGCGTCGAAGTTTGGTGATGAATGTACTGTGTGGCACTTTGTCAAAAGCTTGTACTATGTCGAGATATATCCTGTGACAGGTACATCCTGTGTGAGTAACAGATCAGAGGAAATCTGCTGAGCCATGCAAAGTGCTTGTAATGATGCCGAATGGCCCGGTCTAAAGGCAAACTGTTCATCTCGGATGAGGTTCCGCGAGAGAGCAGTTGGCAGAATTTGTGAGAGTGCCTATCAATTTCCTTTCCCATAACCGGCAGAAGACTGATTGGCCTGTCGCTCGCAACAATCGTGAGATCCTTACCGGGTTTCGGAAGCATGGAGATACTTGCGTATTTCCAATTTTCCGGAAAGTACTGCTGTATAATGCAGCTATTGTAGATGCGCGTAAGCTCTGTGTTTATGATAGGAGGGGGCCTTCTTATGAATGGGAGGGCCTATTCGGTCAGGTACCGGAGTCTTGCGTCTACGCAAGCACTTAATTGTAGTCAAAACTTCTTCGACTGTACAATGTGTGTGTTGGCGCTGTCGTCCGTTTTCTCATCTACCGCCTGTGTAGTGTTGTTAACAAACCTCTCTTCAAGCGATGAATTCTTCCTTTGCTTGATATGAGAAGAGGTATGTTGGTTTACCCTCCGCATTGTCGTGGCCACGTATGGCGGTTGCGGTTTTAGGTACTGACCTGAGCGCTTTTTGGAGTTTGAAAAGGTCGTTATGGGAGTGATTGGAACCGATCTCTATCAAACGTTTTTCCCACTCCTGTGCATGGTTTGCGAGCGCCGTTTTGAGGCGTTTTTCGCTTTCCCTCAGCTGTTGTCTAAGCGTAGGACACCTAAACTGCTGGCATAGTCGCATAGCTTTGCGTTTTTCATGCAGAAGCTCTTCGACATCTGGAGGAAGTGCACATGAGCCCTCTTCGGGCGGGCGCCAGAAAACCGGCGTCGCCTTTCTATGGACTGTTTGTATATGTTTTGTGTGTGTAAGCTAGTTTCTATAGATTCTGGTGAATCCATTGTCTGCGTGGTTTGAGCTTGTGTGTGTAATGCTGCGTTGTTTGCGGAACTCGTCCCGGTCAGTGGGTAGATGTCAGTTGTCAGTAGATATCGCAATGTCTGCGTTTCAATATACCTCACTAAGATGTTGGTAGTAACAAGGCCCGCTAAAACCTTTCATTTTTGATATCAACTTGTCTTCAGATAGTTCCATATTTGTACATTACATTTGTAAAATAAAATGAATATAAATTCCTATAATGAACGAAAGAATGCTGATATCATATTTGTTGACAAGGCAGTAAAATATTTCTGACTTCTAGTTTGCTCTTTCACCATATACACATTCAACTAAATATGTGAATTTGTAGTTCTAGAAATTTTTTCTGCGCTTGGTGCCACTCCTGTAACTAAGTTTATATAAGTTATAAAAGTAACTACGTTTAAGCATATTACAATTCTTGTATAATAATTTTACGAGTGTATTTTTAGTGATTTGTCATTTCTTTTAATACACAATTAATTGTTACATTTTTAAATACATCTGTTTGCTTAACAGAGAAGAATGTGTAATAATAATATTTGATGGAAATTTTCAGGTGTTTAACCTGTGTCTTACAGTGCCAGCACAGTAGTTTCGACTCAAAACATAGAGGAACTAAGTAGTAAAAGAAAACCTGTTCCATTTTAGCACCAATATTATTCTTTTGCCAAAATTAATTATCATCTCGTTACTGTTAGTCCTAATAGTCAAATTCTTTACTCTCTACTAGGAGAAGAGCCATGAGCATATCTCAAAAACCTTTTCGAAACAAATCGATCTGAAATATATTACGATTAAAAATACATTCGCTGATCCACTTTTTAGTAATATTCAATATTTTTTTCCGATCCTCTATTCCTAATTTCATTGTGTTGCTGGCGCTTATCTTCGCAACCATCCTCGTGATCACTCTCTGAAAAAATGGTAGCCAATCGCTGCGTCCGGCCTCAGTGCCCTGCCCAGCGCGCCTCGCAACTCCCTAACGCTTGCTCATTTCGTGATATTTCTTGATTCGGAAACTGTGCAGGCTGCGGAAAGGCTATTTGATTGTTCTCGAAGTGCATTGGTGACCGAGGGTAGATTCTTTTTAATGTAAAATAGTTTCTGGATCAAATGCGTGTGGCGTTTAATTAGGTCTAAAATGGTTATCCAGATTAATTCAAAGCCGATTAATATTTGTGCAAAGTGGGTGTGGATGAATATTTTAAATAGAAAATGGATGTAATAAATCCTGTGGAGTGTCGCAATAAAGGTTAATTAGCATTGAAGCAGATCTTTGATATTTTACGAATAAAGTGTTAGATAGAAATGCGTTTTTCTGAAATGCATTTTGCAAGTTTAGTGTTGTGAAGTGAGCTCCAAGAACTGCGAAAATATTGCTTAGTGTGCGAGTGTTCACGCTCTTAATTGAGATGGATTTGATTTGAAGAAATGGTTTGTGAAACGTCAGAAGTGTAAGTGTTGACGTGTACTTGTGCTACGTGGATGGACTTCACATCACAGTGGCCTTGGTCTTCACGACGCCGTTTCTTCTCATCGTTCCTAAATTTCCCCTGTCCCCGCCAGGTGGTTAGAAAAATTTAGTCTGGAATGCATAATTGTACTCGTTCAAATTTCGGATAGTCCTGAGTGAATTTAAAAAAGAGGGGTTTTAACTTTCCATAGCCTTATTTGCAAATATGTAATTAAATTGCAATGAATAGTTGGCTAATCAATAGGATGAATACTATTTTCAGATTAAAAATGCGTAATTATCAAGCTTTCAAACAAATTTAACATTGTTAGTTACAGAATTATTGGGAATTGTAATACGTGGGCAGTGTAGTTTGAAAGTAAGGAATTAAATTCTTAAAGGAACACAGATTGGATACTAAAAGCATATTCTAAAAATGTTAAAATGTAAACTGAGAAAGTAGTTCATAGAATTGATTAAACATATTAAAAGATCATTAAATTAAGATATTTAATGAACCCTGCGGCTTAGATTTTAATTTTTCAAAAATTTTGAAAGGGTATATGATGT